AGGCACATGAGAGTCTTTGTTTCATTACTTGAGAAATGTAAATTTTCCATTCAAAGGAAAAAGAGGAGATGGACCTAGTTCAGCTACAGATAAAAGATCTACATTTATGCTGAATAGATTTAAATTTTAGCAACAGATAGGAAAAGACAAGGTTGGTGGTGAAATGAAATCTGAAATTTTAATTTTTCTCTCGGACAATAACATTAAAAAAATCACTTTTAATTTGTCCATGTATCATCTGGAAAGAAGATGACATACTCATTTTATTTTTCTTTACCTTCTCAAGCAAGTGAAGGTTCATGTCACCATTATGAAACAGCAGAGAAGACGGAAGCTACAGAGAATACACAAAAGCCAATGTGATTCTAACTGGTAACCTCAGGACAATTCATCAATAGAAGCCTTACTTTATTAAAGTCATGCCACTTCTCAGCCTTGAGAAGCTTTTATTTCAACAACCTAAGTTATCAAAAAGGAAGTACCCTCTCCAAAGAGCAGAGATACTGTCTGTCTGGTTCACTGATCTGACAGTTGCTGGTACGTACCTCGGCACTCATAAGTACCTGTTAAATGAACAAACTACTTTTCATTAGTAGTATAATTTGAATAACATACATCCTGCAGCTAAAACAAAATGCTCTACTTCACCAACTTTTACAAATGGCATTACTGCTGAGAGCATGGTTTTGTCTCTTATTCAACTTAGAACTTGAGAGGCAGTATAATATAGGTCCATAACATCAACATTATATCATGGGATAAATGATGAGCAGTCTGAACTCATACATTTTTATATTATTTGAAAGTAGGAAGGCCTGTTTCTCATTTATATTTCTGAAGCAGTATTTGGAGTAATTTCTTTTTTTTTCTTGTCTAGGTAATATTAAATAACTCCATTCCAGAGATTGGTCTGTGTTAAGACTGCTTTGGTTTTACTTTGATTCCAACTGTTCAGAACAAAGAAAATTTTATTTACATAGCTTAAAGAATAATCAGATCTATCTGGGGTTTCCTTCTAAAATACACAGGATATTATCTTTTGTATATAAATTCAGCACTTGAGCCAATTTACCAATCCTATAGTTAGATCTTCACTACCTACAGAAAACTCCGAGGAGTAAAATGCTTAGGCAAGGTGTAATTACAGTCCTCTAACACAAATAGAAAATGTAGCATTATTGTCTACCATTAAAATCATGCTTCTAAAAATATTCTATTCTCTTGAAATAATATTTGGGCAACCAACTACTTAAAAAAGACGTGCTGGGTATCTTAAAATGAGTATGTCCGTTAATTAAATCTGGGATCCCCTGCTACCAATGGAGTCCTGTACAATCTGTTATTATTCACTGTCCTATAGATCATCTGTTCCTGGTGCTGGCTTGTTCCAGGAAGAGAGACAGCTGCAACACTATATCCCTGTTCAACCTGAGGACCATCTGACTTTAATTGTAACACACAGCTTGATGTGGCTCTGGCTATGAGAAGCCAAAGTATCGTCTGTAATAATCTGGAAAAGCAGAAACCTGCCAACAGAGGGCTGAAAACAGGGACTTGTGCTGTCTGGCTGCCTGACGGGCTGCAGGAAATATGATTAATGAGTAAGGTATAATGATATCAGGAACCCGATTAGCACCACAAAAAGGTCACAGATCAAAGTAGTATGCATTTCATGAGCTGCAATCATTGCATAAAATCTGTGGATTTGAAGAGGTAAACCAAAAAGAGGAGGGGGAAACAAACCCTTATGTGATAACATGCTAACAGATACATAAAATACCATACCACTGATTTAGTCACTTACAGAAAGTTAACAGGAAATTTTAAAATGAATCAATATGAACTGCACCATAAGAAAGCTTTGTTCATCACAGGTGTATAATACATATTTCTGAATGAATGAATGAACAAGTTCTTAAATTCTTTCATAAAGACAAATCTAAGAAAAATCAAGTATTTTCCTAATTACGATTTAAATGATCAAAAATGTAAATATTCAACTCTAAACTGTGTTTGCATTTAACTTGCAGTGAACTGTTATCAGTTCTGTTAAGAACATAAGCTTATTCATAGCCTAACAACTATGAAGACATCTGTAAAACTCATATGAATCACCAGGATGTTTAACAGCATAATAACGCTGCAATAAATGTGTGGTTAGTATTATAAAATACTACTTTGTATAAAATTTCATAGTCATGTCTTAGTTTAGAGCACGAGCAGCCAACACTGAAATCTTACTGGAAAGCAGTTTGGTTAGCTGCCACCTTCTGTTCCTTGGTGCCCTTGGGAGACTTGTTTCGAAGAGACCTGGGTCCTCTGAGGCGAGGGTAGTGAGAATAAAGATGGGAGGTACTCTCCGGAGAGTGGCTTACCTTAATTCACACAGTTAAATTTTCTTCATTGTCAAAATGTTGTTGAAGAGCTTTAAATATAACTGATTCAAATGTTTCTGCCTCTTAAACTTCTTTTTAAAGCAAACACAGTGACAAATTTCTTTGCATTTTTAATAATACTAAATAAGGTAACGATTAATAGAGAGTTGGTTCCCTTGAGACTTAAAAGTTTGAATTATACGAGAAAAAGTGTTTCAATAATAAAATGATAAAAAGAACATGATTTAAATTTTTTTCTTAAAGACATATTCCTCAAGAATGGGGATGACTATTTATATCTTTCAAATATTATATATCATTTTATATCTAGCTGATAGTAAAAACATTTATTAAAAATGGTGATTCAAAAGGATCCATTAAAAATGAAAAGACAAGCCACCAACTAGGGGAAAAATATCTGCAAAACATATGTTGGATAAGAGACTATGGAATATAGAAAGACGTCCTACAAGTAAATAATAAAAAGATAAACAACCCAATTAAAAAATAGGCAAAAGATGTGAATAGATAGTTCACCAAAGAATATACAAGAGTAGAAAATAAGCCTATAAAAAGGTGGTCAGCATCATTAGTCATTAGGGAAATACAAATTAAAATCATAATGCGCTACCTACTGAAGCAATTAGCATAAGTAAGATTGACAACATCAAGTCTTTCCAAGGATACAGAGGACTGGAACTTCATATATTGTTGGTGGGAATGCAAAATGGCACAGTAAACATATTCTTATCATATGACCCAGCAATTAAACTCCTAGGATTCTAGCCAAGAGAAATGAAAACAGATATTCACCCTACAATACATGCAAATGTTCATAATAGCCTCAAACGAGAAAAAAGCCAATGTCCATAAACTAGTAAATAAACAAAATGCACTACACCTACACCATGGAATACTATGCAGCAATACAAAGAAATGAACTACTGATACATGCACAACATGGATGAATCTCAAAAACATCGTGCTCAGTGGAAGAGCCAGGCACTAAGAGACTACATATTGAAGAATCTCAGTTCTAAAATTTTCTAGAAAAAACAAAACTATAGAGTCAGAATCAGTGGTTGCCTGGGACTAGGACTGGGAGCAAACAGGTACACGAAAACTTTTTGGAGTGTTGTACACTGATTGTGGGGATAGTTACACCACTGTATAAATTTACTGAAACTCTTTGAGTTATGCACTTTTAAACAGGTGGATTTTATGGTATGTAAATTATACCTCAATAACTGTGTTTTAAAATGGTAGACAATCATTGAAAGCAAAAATAAAGAAAAAAAATGCAGCATGACTGTACCTTCTGTTGACCTCTATTCATCCCTGAGGGTGGTGGTGTGGGAATCACACAATCATAGAAAACTGTCACATTTAAAAGCTCGACATCTCCTTTAGTATCTTTCACAGCTAAGCTTTGTCTTGGGCTCTCATTTTAATTACAGTAACTTGAGAATTTTGAAAAATGCATGAAGTAAACTTAATGCAACATGTATCTTATGACTGTGATAGAATGTTAGGTGCTATTTCCTGAAGGCCTACTGTAAACCAGAGAATATTCTAGGAATATTTTACATACCTAATTACAACTTTTTTTCCTTGTATATTTTTTTTCCTAATTACAACTTTATACTCATAATTTTCAAATTAGAAATGAGGAAACCCAGGCTCAGAAAGGTTAAATTGCCTAAGGTCCCAAAACCAGCACAGTGAGTTCTCCAGGATTGGGAAAACTGGTCTGATGCCAAAGCCTATGCTCTTTTCACTCCCCCTGCATTGCTTCCAGTTGATATAAAGTGTGAAATTTCACTGATAATGGACTGCAATTAGGATCTAGAATACAGGACTCAAATGTAATTACAGGTAGAAAAGGTAAGGAGTGCAACCAAGAAAACTAAAATGAAATAATTTTCCTTGTTTAAGTGTGAAGAAACAATACAATTTAAATTTCATTTTTAATATGAAGTATTTAGGGTAACAATACTTCTTTTAAAAACTGAGAATAAAGCTCCCTGATTCCAAGCATTTATGATAGTTAAGGTAAAAAGAAAAGGATATATTACTTATTCATAAAGTAATACAGAATCCATATAACAGAGAATATTAAAGATTTCACTAGAGAGGATTCTGAAGAGTTGTTTGTAAGCATAATGATTACTGTGCTTTTAAGTTTTTGGGTTTTTGTATTCTAAATATTCCATGAAGATTTCCTTCAAAAGATAGATTCGGGATATAATTGGAAAATCTTGTTTCTATTACTAAAACGTGCCATAGCCGTCTAACCTGGAAAACAGAATTATGCTCTTTTCCTCATATTGGAAAAAGCACAGAATTCTAGTTTCACTTATAACTTTTGCTTATAAATTTGAATCACCATGTGTATATAAAAGTAACCTAAATTCTGCACACAAGAATAAAATAAAGCATGATACCTTTCAAGTCAATAAAATTTTATGAAGTATACATGGAGATTCATGAACTATTAGGTTACTTTCAGTTATCTCTATCAACTAGTTTTTTCCAGAAGAGCAAGGGTTAATGATTACACCAACACATGAAAGATACTTTGAGAAAAAGCTCATGATAGACAGAGTAGATGGTTACTTATCTTACCAATCTGTTTATGCGAACAAATTCTTCTGAGGTTTTGGCCCAAGGAGGAAGCTCAACATCAGACACCACTGTCCCATCATCCATCACTCCAAGATTGTAATTATTGAAGTTGACAAACATCTCAGGGAGATAATAAAATTCAGGGATCAACTCCTATATAGAAATAGAAGAAAATGTCGTATTATAAATTGTAGAATACTGACTAGGTATTCATAAAAGGGCTTGATCATTTCCTATTGTGCAGAAGAACAGAATAAACACTGGAATTTTTTTCTCTTTTCACATCATAGCCTTATCACAAAGTAGACATTGAGGTAGACAGAGCCTATCCAACCAAATTGAAATAACATCTTACTGATTGGTTACATGCTTTTCTTTAGGACAACTCTCATCAACTCAAGACTCTTAAATGCCAACATCTGAGTAATATTTGAGGATTGACAAGATACAGAGATAACGTGATGTAATAATAACAATCATCTAAGCTAGGTTTTTTTTTTTTTTAGGTATATGGAATTTTTGCTAGAAAAACCCAAAATCTTGAAAAACATTAAAATGCCTTGGTGTCATCATGAACCAGGCAGATACTCTTCACATTTAGCCAAGGTTTACAATGTATTTTGCTCATGTTCCAAAATATTCAAGTTTAGTTTTAAGGTATTAACTCAGATAAAAGATCAAAATTTATAATTAGTTTAGAAAATGACCTACATGAGAAACTGAGTAAATTAAATATGACTTTAATAAGGACATTTAAAATACACTTTAACAGGACACTTAATAAGCAGAAAAATGCAAGCCAGTTAGGTTTCTGTGTACAATAAGCCCCATGTATAACGATTTCAGGGGTCCTGAAGATCAGACTTGAAATCCAGTCTTGACATGGGTCAGTGACTCAGTGGTCTTTCAGATACCCCCTCAGGGCCAGCTATGGCAGGCCCGGCTTTCCAAACGGTTGAGTAAAATAGGGAGGTCATCAGATTTTGGACAAGGTCAGTATGAACTCGCTAGAGCAAAGAAAAAAAAATTCAGCAGGAATTAAGCTATTATCACCTCCATCATCCATGTGAAATGTTGCTTGACTTTGAATCGTACATCCTTTGTTTACAATCACAGTAATTAACTAAGCAGGGTAGAAATAAGCTTGTCCTCCAAATGCCTGACAACCATCTGATCACTGACTTGAAAAACATTTAAACTGAACAGAAAACAATTTTTTTAAAAAAGGTAGAAACTTGTTAACAGTTTAACCATAAATGAAATGACACAGTGATCACACAAAAATTTTTAAGATTCTCATCTCCCAAAAGGATGCATATAAGTCTAATTGACAAAAGAGGGAAAGGCACGTGTTATTTTACACAACAAAAGCTCTAACCAATTTATTACAGCTAACATTTGCTGCATGAGAGATGAGTCAAGTACTAAAAAAAACTCTTAATAAACCCTACCACGTTTAAGCTTCACAACTTTACAAGGTGAGGTATCATCTCCATTTTAAAAATCAACTAAGGCTCAACAAAGTTAGTCATTTGCCAAAGGTTACATAGCTGATTTAAGAGAAATTTAGAACTTAAATCAAGATTTGTCTAACTCTAAAGCCTGTGTCCTTAATCATCAAATAAGCATAGGTTCCACTCACACAGTGCTAAACATTTTAAATGTAAGTATTTAAAATATATTTTAAGCAATTTTTTAAGAAGTAAACAAAAACTTTTCATTCTTTCATAATAAGTAAACAACTGATTACATATGTAGTATTTATTACTTAATAAAATTAATCAAAAGGAAGAATTTTTAAAATATGCTGTAATTATTATTTACCCATATAGGAAGATAAATCACTTTTTAACTATTACTAATTTACTTTCCAGTATGCATTCCATAAATTCCAACTTTGAACAAATTTCTCAAAATGTCTTATTTTCACTTCACATTATTTCCACGCCTTCCTTCTATATTTAAAATCAAAAGCAGCATTTTAGTTTAATTAAATACTTATTCTTCAAATTATGTGAATTTCAAATAATATCACCATAGCGCTCCAACAATTATAGGATGTTGCCGTTTATTTTTGCCTGTTGTACTCACTACACATCTATGTGGCAATTCCCCTAGGAGTCAAAACAATTATAATGGCTGAATTTTATTTTTTATTTTTTTAAACATTTTTTATTGATTTATAATCATTTTACAATGTTGTGTCAAATTCCAGTGCTCAGCACAATTTTTCAGTCATTCG